ACGGGGGCGCCCCGGGGCAGGGACGAGGAAGCGTCGCCCGCTGGGGCGAGTGGCGCCGGGGCTGCTGGAGGGGCGGGCCGCGGGTCCGGGGCTGGGAAGTGTGGACGACCCCAGCCCTGGGAGCAAAGCGGAGCAAAGGCATGGGGCGTTGCAGAAAAGCAGCCCTCTCTGCAACGCCAGAAAGGGGCTGGGCGCCCCGCTGTGAAGTTCCCGTTTTATCTGGCTGCCCTGGGGAGTCAGCCGAATTGTAGGCAGGGCGGGTGATATGTGGGTCACAGAAAGGCCCCTGGCAGCCTAGCCTGCTGGTGTGAGGCTGGCTGTAGAGAAAGGCCTGGAAGTTTGTGAGCCCCACGCCTGCGGGCAGCAACACCTACCACTTTGCCTTTTTTGGGGCGCCCTCTTCGGGGCCCACCAACCCATTGTGCCTCTTCCCCAGTCTCTGTGCGCGCCCTTCAGCTCCCGCTGCCGCTCCTCCTGTGTCCCCCGGGCAGCCTCTGTCTGCACTTCCCTCTGCGGGGACAGGGAAGTGAAGCACCTGCTCCTCGCCTCTTTTGGAAGCAGTCGTGGTCACTGGGCTCTCTGCCATCCCCGAATGTGCTCCTCCACTTGCCTCTGAGCCACATCTTGGCAGTCACTGCTTTCCTGTGGCCTCACTCAACTCGCCAAAGACCCCTCCTTTCCCATGGGCCCACCACCCTTGCTATCAACCATTACCTTCTTTCCCTCTGGTACTGGGGATTGAACCCAGGGCCATCACACATGCCAGGAAGCACTGTACCACTGAGCTACACCCCCAGTCCTCTTTTTTCATTTTGAGACAGGGTGTTACTTCACTGCCAGGGTTGCCCTCCAACCTGGATCCTCCTGCCTCAGCCTCCTGAGCAGTTTGGGCCACTGTACAGCTGGGGCTTTCTCCTGAGCAATTTGCTCCCAACGTTTCCAAGGCCTTTTAGTGTGGCCTGTAGGGCTGCCTGGCCACCTCAAGCCTTAGACCATCTGAACCCCTAGGACAGTGCTGGTGAACTGATGGTATGCATGCTGCAGCGGGCTGTTTGTTATCATTGAAAGCTCTAAAAGCTTCACCATCACTGTTCTAGGATGTCCCGGGACGTGCATAGCTAGCTGTCCCAGCCCCTGTCCCCGTGTGCCACTGAAGCTGTGGTGGCAGAAGCTGCCTCTCCAGTTGCTGCCTCCGTGCCTCCTGACGGTCCTTCTGGCCCTGTGGTCCCTCTCTGCAAAGGGCTTCCCTTCCCACCACCAGCCAGCCCTCTCCCTCGGGAACTTCAGGCTTCTTCTGGAACAAGGTCTGCCCAAGACCTGGGAGAGGCATCCCAAGGCCACAGCCACAGTGGCCACTGTCAGGAGGCAGGCCACACCATGAGCTCCGGAGGCTTCTCACAGGATGGCCCTCACCACCGTATGTGCTGCCTCATGGTCACACCTGTGCACAAGAGCCTTATGGGGCAAGGATGTGGTCCTCCTGGTACTCTGGGGACAGGCCTGGTACACTGCAGATGCTCATTGGGGACTGCTTAGTCATCAGCTCTTTCCCTTAACACTCAAGGCTGGGGGCCTTTCTAGTATGTGGGCCAAAGCTGCCTGTGAAGCCGGACCAAGGCCCAGGTCCCCATGCCCGTGCCCTGTCCTATTGCCTGGCACCAGCCCAAGGACAGGTGTGGCCCCAGAAAGCGCGCGCCCTTAGGAGAAGCCAGCAGCAGCACGGCCCCTCTAGGCAGCCCCTTGGCATGCCTTTGCCAGGTGGCCAGCCATGGGGACCTGCAGTAAGTCAGGAGAGGGACACCCCCACCTCCCGAGGCAGTCCTGTGGGCAGGCTGCCCGTGTGGTGCTGTCCTGTCTGTCCCGGGCTGGAGGGGACTGCTGACTTACAATGAAAGCCCAGACCTTGAGTCACTTTCACAGAGAGGTTTATCGAGAATGCTAACAGCACAGGATACAGTACTTCCCAACAAAAGGTGCAAACGCGTCACTTAGAAAGGCATGCTGAGTATTCTTTGCTTCACATGTATTAAAAAACTTACAAAAATAAAATAAAACTGCGTGCTGCCCATCTTTTCAAATAGTAAAAGAACCTTATGAAAAAACCACTTGATTTTACAACAAAAGACACAAACGGACATTTTTATGTAAATTTATAAGGCAAACTCTTTATATAATAAATAGGTTACAGGGATTCAGTGGGGGGGGGTGTTTTTGAAACGTATACAGGTACATTCAGACAGGTTTACTGAAATGGTACAAATTTCCTTAATAAATTGCCTTTTGTTTTTAAATATATCAGTGCTTTCAGTCATTTGGCTATACACAAAGAACCTTTTTTGAACACTACAAAAAAGCAATCAATATTTTTGTTTTTAAAACAACCTACTTATTTTCTAAAGTAATTGTCCCAAAACACAAAAACTGAAAGTGAGTGCGACAGAGGGCTTTTAGAGACCCCTCCAGCTAAGTCTGCCCCAGGCCTGTCCCCGAGCCCTGTGGACCCCTCTGGTGTCAGGTGGCAGCACTGTCCTGCAGATCTTGGCCTCCAGGATGGCACGGGGGAATGGGACTTGGACTCGGAGGGGGACACCCTGCCTGGTTCTCCCAGCTGCTGAACTCAACGTGCAAAGGTCACTCCGGCCCCACTGTCCTTGCCTGAAGGTGAGTCCAGAACAACGTCTACCAAGGGTACCAGCATCAATCAAGATGGCTCTGCTTGCCTCAGGGAGGGAATGGGTTCGTTAGCTCAGGTCCAGATCTCGCTGAGGACTGAATGACTGGCATTGTGTTGCCCCGGCATGGTGGGGAGTAGCGAGGGCATGTTAGTGACAGGATGTGGTATGACAGAAATGCCTCCCTCAGATACCCTCCAAATGCCTGTGTCCAGGAGGAGCTGTGCCAGCCAGGGTATGGCCAACCCATCCTCTGCCTGCCCCACCTCTGACCCCTTCCTCCCTTGGCTCATCCTCCCCAACCCCTCCCTTCCGGCTCTCCTGGAAGGGACATCAACCTTGTCTTTACTCAAGGTAACGATGCCCCTTCACAGAGTGAGGCAAGGGGGCATGGAAAGAACCCACTGTGTGGGACACGAGCTGCTAATGCTTGGCCTCCGCGAACAGCGACCCACCAGCCTCCCTAGTGTGCTGGCTTGAGCGCACCTCCCGGGCAGTCTCAGGGCCATCTGGCAGGGGTCATCGCTTTGGGTCACCCCTCATGTCTCAGTCACCGTCCCCCTCCCTCCGAATGCTCTGTTTGGAAAGAAAAGGTATCTGAAGCATTTGTCTCTGGAACAATTACTTTAAACATGGTTACAATACAGACTTCAGTTCAAACACAGAAGAGATTTACTTAGCAAAGTCCCTTTCACCCACCAAAAATTACACAGATAGAAGCCTCCACACCACAGTTAAGAGGACCAGTAGAGAAAACCTCATGTTTGGAACACAAAAGGAGAAATAAAAACCAAACCAAACCCAAACAGAAACCCCAGAGAGACAAGGAGGGGTGGGAAGGCAGGGGCGGGGGAACACGGCACACGTTACAGTGTCCAGGTACATGGAGCCCTCGAGGGAGGACTCGGCACGGTTAATAACAGTCCTGGTGATATTTGGTCATATATCCAACTACTGACTCTGGAGCGGCTGTCACTGATTGAAGCAGTGAGAAATCAAATGGAAAAGAGGCCGTGGTAGAGCACTGAGCTGGGTGGCCCTGCTCCGTCTGGGTGGGGCTATAGGTCACCAGGGACACCAACGCATCAGGAAGCACAGCACGCACGTGGACACGCGCGGACACCCACCTGTCGGTGGCTGGACATCGGACATCAGCGGTGCCGCCTCTGCTTCCTCCGCCCTCCCAGGTGGCCGCTAATACTGAGCATGGGGAGCATCCCGGCCAGAGCCCTGGCACCGCCTGCGGCTGCCCCAGCCCGCATCTTCTGGGGCCTGCGACCCACTGTTGGATTCTGGCCTCAGAAGAAGCACGATGCAGAGGGGGAAGATTTTGGCCCTGGTGATTATAATGCTCTCTGCTTTGGAAGAACGTTTCTGGATTGTGGTTTTTTTTTTTTGGTGTTTTTAATTACTTAAAGAGTGATCAAAAAGAACTGTTACAGCTAACCTCTCTAGCAGATATTGCTCATTAAGGATTACAAAAGCAAATGCAATTATTCATGGGCGAGGAGAATAGGACGTTGCTGGAGTCTCTGCTACTTCCTGGAGAGGACCCCCAGACTGCTGCATGTAGATCTGGGGCCCCTGGCATTCTACCTGGTATGCCCTCCCCTCTCCCCTCCAGCCCCCAGGCTCAGGTCACTCAGTGGGGTCAGGGATCCGAGGGGACCTTGGCGCTCCTGTGGGGAGCTGTCTGTCCCCACCTCTGCTCAGCACAGGGAAGCCTTGAGAGGAGGAGGAAAGACCACAGATCTGCTTGGACCAAAGAAGTGACCAGCAGACAGATGTCGTTTTTTTTTTTTTCTTTTTTCTTTTTTTATTTTCCCTTGTCCTATGCTATGGTTATCAGAAATATTGTAATTAAGCAACAGGTATAATTTTAACAGGTCTTTTTTGTGTGGAGCCACAAGCAAAATGAGTTTATAATTGTGCAATATACATATATATCTATATATATATAAATTCAACTGCTTTGTGTGTCTAGTCGGTGCATAAAATAAAAGGGACAGGAAAACTAAAAGTAAAACTCAAAACCAAAACAAAAGCCCAGGACACAGGAGACGAAGTAGGCCTATGCTTAATCTCTAAGTTACTGGGTAGGATCAGGGTCACCAGGAAGGACAGCTTTGCCACTTGACACAAACACCGCTGGGAGAGGGGTACTGGCTGCAGGAGCCGAGCCGTGACCTCTGCGGAGCGTCTCCTCTCACTGCTCAACAGGACCCAACAAAGGCAAGACAGGCAGAAGCGGGTAGAGGCCTGCGGAAGCTGCCCACTGCTCTTGAATTCAGATGCAGGTCTGTTCTCATGCAGAGACTGGCTGGGCTGGGGCCTGTCCTCCCTCCCTCCCCACTGTCCCTGGGGCCCTGCCTAGCTCCCTGGGCACAGCTCTGCTTTCTTGGCTTCTGCAAGGGTGGGGCAGAGTGTGCCAAGGTGAGAGGGGTCGGGGGCAAGGGATGCTGGCCTCGGAGACCACTGGTGCACACACCACTTCCCACATTCCACGCTGGCCTCACGCCGCTAACCCCCACCCCCTCCAAGGGAGAGGGTCAGAAGCTGTGTCCCTGGTGACAGCGACCCCAGGAGTGACAATGACAAGAGGCCCCTAGTTCCTCAGGTGCCTTAGGTGCAGGAGGCTTCCGACTGCAGTTTCCTGTGTCTGTCACATTCACCAGACATCTCAGGCTGACTAGTATTTTTGGATTGGCATTTTTGCAGAAAGCTTGCTCTTATTCAGAAAACATCAAAATGTAATTTTCCCCCAAATATTTTCTACGTTTTCCTTCTCAATTATTGAGAACTGGTTTCAATGTTCAATTTTCCCCCTTTAATATGTAATTTTAGACCCTGGAGGAGGCAGTATCCTAGCGATTTATAACAATTAGACCTAAGCCTTTTTCTAAAGATTGATACAGTATCTAAAAGAGAAAGACATCAAAATGGAGAGAATCAACAAATCCTTTCGGAACAGAGCTGTTCACAGGCGGAGAGTGGAGGACGTGTCCACCCGCCCTGTGGCCCCTTTCCCCAGCTAGGCCTTGCAAAGTGAGGATTGGCGCAGGCCTGGGCCACTGGTCCTGGAACTGTGAGTGTGAACCGGAGCCAAGAAATGCAGTTAGACAAGGACCCATGCTGCGGACTGGCCACAGGTCTTCCCCAGGCCCCCCCCCCCAGCACTCGGGGAAGCGGGACACGGCACTCTGGCTGTGGGGCTCCGCGCGAGCTGAGAGACATCGGCACGGCCCTACCCCGCGCAGTCAGTCCATGCTCTGGCTCTCCCCTGGGCTGGAGCCATTCAGTCAAAGTTACTTAAAATTCAGAGGTCCTGTCAGCTAAGAAAACTTCCCACCAAATGTGGCAGCTTGTTTCTGGTCGTATGCGCGCTCTCTCATGATCACCGTCACAGTAATGACTAGCTAGGGCTGCTCCAGGTCTCACTTCCAATGTTGGCAGCCTCTGGCATACTTGTTTGCACCCACAAAGAGGTGGCAGCTTTCACTGTCCCAAGCTGAGAGGTCGGGCTCCTTGGCCAGTTTGGCACTGACGGACTGGGACAGGGTAGCATGTCTGGGTATCCCTTGTGCCTTCTGATGCGGGAATACAGTGCCACATAGAGGACCTGTGCTAGGCTGTGGCCAACCCAGTTCACTACACTGTCAAGGCCGGCTTCTCACTGGCTGTGACCAAGCCACCAATGTGCAAGGCTGGGCCAGGCCTGGGGGCATACAGGGAGGACAGGCAGGTTCTGTGGGGGCGGGGAGGAGGTAGTAACTAGCGACTAACAGGGTGGAGGAACTGTGGGTGTTTCCTGAATGACATCACCCCAGGGTATCTGAAAGCTGAGTCACTTCTTATATTCTTCAGTCACTAAAAGGTGGCCCCAGTCTTCATAGTGCTTAAATACAGACAGAATCGAGGTCACACCCCAACACTGGGCCGGACACAGCTGGTGAGAATCCCGTGGCTTAAGGCTTTCCCTCCGACCTCCTCTCAACCCAACCCCAAGGAGGGGGCCTGGGAGCGGCAGGGCCCTTCCTCGAGGGCCACAGACTGCCAAAGCTGCCTGCTGAAAGGCGACCAACTCATGATGCCCTCCTTTATGTAGGGGTAGGAGGCGATGGGGTAGAGGGTCACAGAGGAAGCCCTAAGGAGCTGCAGGCACTGCCTGCAGTCTTAGAACCAACTCTAAGGGAGAGAACCTGGGAGCAGAGGACCATAAGTAGGGACCAACTGAAAGAAAACAACACCCAAAACGCCCAGTGGCCCAGGCCCGGGTCGTGCGGCCCACACTCCTCCCAGGACTAGAAGAACGGAGTAAGCCAATCCCACTGACTGCCACAGCCATCTTCTCGTCGACAACCTGGCCAGGTGCCACGCCTGCGTGGGTAGGTGTCCTTTGGGGGTGTCGGGAGTGCGAGGCCACCGTGGGGCCAGGGGCCTTTTGTCCGTGGAGGAAGAGGAGTTTTGAAGTCCTCCTTCCCTCCTCTGACCCTGCTCCCTTCCTGGGAAGGAGGCAGAAGGAAGGCGGAGGATGAGCGCAGAGTGGGTGAAGGAGCCAGGCTGGTGGATGGGAGTCGGCTGGCAGGAGCAGGACAGGCTGTCAGCACAGGGAGAGGGGCACGGAGAGGCTAAAGTCCGACTACGACTACAGAACAGAACAGGCGGACTCCCTCGATCCCGCCCCCCAACCGTCAGGGAGACAGACACGGGTTATCTGAAGCTATTGATTGGAACTGTCCACTAGAGTTCTGATCACTAAGACTGGCAAGGTAGTGCTAGACAGTTTCTATGATGTTTCATCCTTCATGATTATACCGCAGTAAGGAAGCCAGGGGACAAGAACTGAAATACACGAGACAACACGCACTTGACAGTTCATGGCAGCAGCTCACGCAGGGCGTGCCTGTGGGTGTTTCTGGAAGCGTAAGACTGCTGTCTCATTTGCTACTTTGATAAGGTACTTCTCAGTTGGACAGATTTAGATATAAGAGACATCTCTGTAAACACAGAAAAGGATATACCAATATGATGAAGATATGCAGCTAGATAAGGACTTCCTGAACAGAGGCAAGAACTTTGGGATCCCTAACAGAAATTGACCAAACCTCTAACCCCACCCCACACTCACAGGAGAGACTAGAGGAGGTGGTGGCCTGACCCCACCCGCCTCCAGCGAGCAAAGCCAACGACTCCATGGGAAAGGACTCAGTGGGGAAAAGGTGAGGGGGGGGGGGGCTGGCGCCTGGCGGCCAGTCCTAGCCCAGGTCGGTTCTTGTCGCCTGTTGTCCTGCCACACACCGCTAGCCCTGCCAGGCTCATCAGTGACTCTGGCAGGCTGGCCCTTGGACGCTGGATGTGGCCAGCATCCCTGGCCTGCTTCTGTCAAGCCTGGGGAAGGAAAGGCCTACAGGGCAGGTGCAAAGCCCTTTGCCATTATCTCAGCAGGGAAGAGGGTGCTATCTGGGGAGCAAAACGCGCTGCCCTCCGCTCCTCCGAGGCCACGGTGGATTGGGCGCACAGGGCGCAGATAGGGGCCAGGGCTGGCAGTGGGGCCAAAGGGCCGGGTGGGCTCTAGGTGCTGGAGCTGACAGGAGTGGGCTCGGCGTGTGGGTGGGCACTGTGGTCGCCTGGAGAGAGGATGAGCTAGGAGGCAGGAGGACGGACGATGGGAGAACTGGAGGAAGGCAGAGATGGAAGGGCAGAGGAGAAACCAATCAGGAAGTCCTTATAAAATTGCAGCAAACACTTAGAGTTTCGGAGCTTCGTGGGAACCCTATGTGCTGAGCCCACTTTAAAACAAGCGCAGGTATATACAGATCCAGGTAGTTCGGAACACCATTGCATCTGGTGGCTCGAGGGACAGAGTGTCCCCAGGTCAAGCCAGGTTGCTTTCGAAGCATGTTTGTTTTGAAGTGGGAACATGAAGACTCAATAGTGCAAATAATTCTATGCTGTCCCTACAGGAGAACTGGAAAGTAACTGGAAGAACTTCGAGACTTTCCTCCCTGTGCCCTTCAGCCAGTCCCCAGGTCCCTCACTACCAGTCAGGCTACTCTGAGCGACTAGGAATCTCGCCACGCAGCGCTGGGCTGGCGATGTGGCCAGCTGCCCAGGCTTGTTCTGCCACCCCTATGGCCCCTCTCTAAGGCCACCCACCGAGAACGGGTAGCCCCACCTCACCGTGGGCCGTCCTCTCCTGTGGCTTAGGCCACTCTGCACTTGCAGTTCAGGGCTTCCTCTGAGCCGGGCCGGAGCTGGAGCAGACAGGTGCCACTTGCCTGTCCTGCAAAATGTCCTCATCAGTTTTGGATTGGGGCTGGTGTGGGGCCAGGCTTGTGCCGCCACGTGTGGGATGGGGCGGGCCATAGCCACTGGCCATCCCCGTCGTCTTCCCTAAAGAATCCAACAGCCTCTCTGCTCAGCCTCCCTGTCCCACTGTGGTTGGGGGTGGGGAAGATGGGGGAGCTGGGGCGTCACGGGCAGGGCACTGATGGCACCAAACAAGTGTCCTCTCAACTGCTGTCCATCCCTAACATCCCTAACGACTGCGACTGGGTGGGGGAAGGTAGGGTGGGAGGGGAGGTGCCTGGTCAACAGCTTGTCTGGTCAGTAGTATCTGCAGCAAGCCTTGTTGAAGGAGCCTAGTTTAGAAAAGTGCAAAGCTACTTCTGGCCCTGGTTAGGTCTTCAACCTGACTGTGCTTGTCGGTAAGAAAAACATCCCCAATGCTCCAACTACTCCCACCCTGAAGCCACGAAACTCTAAGTTTACTGAAAGAAAAAAAAATATTTTTTATTTCAGTTAATCGGGAAGCTTTGTCAGAGCCCTACCCATAAGGAGAAGAGACAACAGCTGCCTTTATTCTTGTTGGTTTGCTTTGCAATCCGCGCTGAGTAAAGTCAGCTAACTCTCTCGGTCACGGGCGTCCGGCTGTCCACAGGCTCCTCTCTGTTTGGCCTCGGCATGGAGGATGAAACAATGTCTTTGCGCTCTCCCTCCCCTCGGTGTTTGTACTTTTCTGCGGCCGGGGCCGGGGCCGGGGCTGGGGCCGGGACTGGGGCCGGGGCCGGGGCCGGAGCCAGGGTGGCGCTGGTGACCGCAGGCTGAGTCTTAGCTGGCTCCTTGGGGCAGCCGTCACTCTCCAGCAAGCCTCCTCGGGGCATCTTCTCCTCCTTGCAGATACTGCCGCTCAAGTCCTGGGGCTCGGGGGGGCTGGCGGGGTCCTCGGAGCTCTCGGGCTCGGGCAGGGGCGGGGGTGGGGGTGGCAGCGGCACCTTCGGGGACTCTGCGTGGTGGTGGTGGTGGTGGTGCTCCTTCTTGGGGGGTGATGAGGCGCTGCTGCTGCGCCCCTTGGGACTGCTCTCCTTGCTTTTCCGCCCAGGGCTCTTGCAGGTCTTCAGTCCCTTGCCGCTCTTCTCACCGAGGGTGGATACGAGCAGCGGCTTCACCACCTCCTTCACCTCAATGCTGACCGTCTCCCGGGTCTTGCGCTTCTTGATGGGGAGCACGGTCTCCTGCACGGAGCGGATGGAAGACTCCTTCACAGCCTTCTTCTTGGCCTCAGCAACGGCAGTGGCCACCACGCTCCCGGGCTTCCGGCCCCGCTTCTTGGGGATGGCCTGGGGGTCAGCTTCGGCTTTCCGCTTGCGGCCAGGGCGCTTGATCACCATGACCTGGGCCGATGTGGTGGCCCCACCCCCCTCAGCCTTGCCCCCGGGTGCCGCCTGGAAGGGCATCTTGACCAACAGCTTCCCAGGGCTCTTCTCCAAGACCCTTTTCACCTGAACACCTTCGGATGCTGCCGCCTTGGGTCTCGCTGAGCCACTCCCCTTGGGGCGTCCCCGACCTCTGCCAGTTCCTGGAGCTTTGGGAGATTTGGGCTTCTTAGGTGGTCTCTGCTCTCTCCGGGAGGGGCTCCCTCTCCCAGTTACCGTGAAGTCAAAATCGTTAGGGTCCAGGGAGGTATCGCCTACCTTTTCGAAGTATGCAATCAACTCCACTTTAGAGCGGAAGGCTTTTCCCTGGGGACTGCAGGGACAAACGGAGAAATACAAAGAACAGTCAGAAGCATTCCTGGCAAGGTCGGAGACGGGTGGAGTGGATGGGACCTATGAGCTCTCTGAACAAGAGTCACACCCAAGAGAAGTCAAGGGGGCTAGAACTGGACGGGCACAACCAGCTCAGATGTGATGCTCTGCCACATGAACTGGAATCATGTTGCCAGGGCACAGGGCACCTGTAATCTCCATTCACCAACCAGGCCCTGAACCCCAGAGGGCTCGCCAGTGGCTTGGCCACTCTGGGTGCCCTGGGCCTATCTACAGCTCACAGCCGAGGTGGGGCTCCCTGGCCTGGCCGCTGGCCAGGCCTGGCACCACCCTCATCCGAACACTATGTGTCTGAGCTCAGCCCTAGTCCTGGGCCTCGCTGGGAGTCTGCTCCCCTTCAGAGATGTGGCATGAAATGAGGCTCCGGGAAACTGCCAGCCTTTCTGGGCTCACTTAGTGGGCAGAACTGCCATTCTAGCACTGGGTGCGTGCAAGAAGGATAGTCGGCAGGTCAGATGTGGGGACTGTCCAGCTCTCCTCCTGGAGGCCCTTTCCCAGGGCTGGTTCTCGAGCAAAGTAACCAAGAGTGGCTTCCCTGCCCTTCCATCTCTAGACGAGCACCTCCCAGCAGGCAGGGCCTCAGCACATAGTCTTTGTGAACACACCTGGCCCAACGTTCAGCCCCACCCCACCAGAGTGGCATATGTACATTTCCCGGTCAATTCCACTTGATCTTAGCAAAAAGGCCGAGAAGCGATTCCCGGTCAATTCCAAGGGACCTGGGTTCAGTGTGTCCTCTCCCTCTGCCCCCACTCTGGCTGGTAGGGACAGCACCTACTCACTTACTTGATCAAGTAGACATCGTACTTCCCAGCAGAGCGGCCAGACTTCCTCTGCTTAAGTTTCCGAGTCCAGCCCTCAGGCAGGGTGGGGTCATCATACATGGGCCCCCGGTCCCGAATGATGGAGCGCCGCTGCTTGGGGGAGGCGGAGGCTTCCGGCACAGCCGGGGCGGAGCCTGAGCCCTCTGAAGTCTCCGCCTTGCCTGCCTCTGCTGGTTCTGCAGAGTGGTGCGCTGATGGCTGCAGGGGCTCATGCTTGGCCTCCTTGTCTTCCTTCTTATCTTTCTTCACTTTTTTAAACTTCAGGGGTTTGTCCTTGAGGCTCTGGAGGTCCTGGTCTTCTGACTTCTCTTCCCTGAAGTGTTAAACAAATACATAAGTATAACTATCACGGACAGCACATTCACATTGCTGCAGAAAATCCAGCGAGGGCAGGCTGAGGGTCCCTACAACCACAGGCAAGGCCCCAGAGCAATGCATACTCAGATCCTGCTGGCTTCCCCGTGACACTGACTTCTTCAGGGACCCAGCATGGAAAGAGCAAGGACCGCCTGCAGGCTCCTGGCCCTCAAGCCAGCAGAGGCCCAGCCTGGGCCACGGGTAGAGAGGGGGCGGTCTCCCCGACCAAGGCCAGCTTCCTGGAGCCAGCCTGATTCTCTCAAGTGTGTTTACAAACCCATCAGGTTTGTGCTCAACAACACACAGCCTGGTGGGGGGCACAGTGTCCTGAGCACCTGAGTCCAACTCTTGGCCCTGGCACTTTCCCAATATGGTCCGAGCTGAGTAACCTCAGTTTCCTCACCTCAGCAACAGTAAACCCTTCCCAGAACTATCCTTACTATCTCAGCCCCGGTGAACTCAGCACCAGCAGCTGCTGGCCACGGTTTCAGCATGAGAACAGAAGGGGGCCCAGGCCACGCAGACCTCTACTGGAAACCATCCCCCACAGGGGACAGTGTCGGCCTTGGTACTGAGCTTGAGAAGGCCCCGGCATGGGATGTGATCTGGGTGGAGCAGTGTGCCCGCCCTGCCAGGGCAAGGGGCACCTAAAGCAGCCGCTTTGCTCATCTTGGGGCAGAAGGCCTGGGCAGCCTTCCCATAGGCAGCAGCAGCATGTTTCCTATATGCCATCAGGTCAGGCTGGCAGGGCACCCTCCTCGTGTACTGTGATGTCGAATGATTCCCCAAGAGAGCCACAGTGAGATCCCCAGGACTGCAGAGCCCGGCAGTGTTGCGCCAGCATCTCTGAACCACAGGCTGTGCCAAGGGACATCTGGAAAGCAGCAGTGGCTGCCTACCTGCCCCGCAGTTTGTTCTGGGGAAGAGCATGACCACTCCTGTCCCACGGCCCCAACCTAACCCCGTACAGCCCTTGTTGGTGCCAATTCCTGCCCTGTAGTGAGTCCACCTGGGCAACGTTCCTGTCACACTGTGGAGACAGCAATGAAGGCACTGTGGTGTGAACCAGACCCTAAGGGAAGTGGCAAGGTCACTAAAGGCTGAATGGCTCCAGGTCAACGAAGCTGCAAGGACCAAACAGTCCAGAACAGTCAGGTGTGTGGGGGGGACAGCAGTGAGTCCCACAGAGTGACACGGTGTCAGCAAGGGAATGGCCTCGCTCCACTCTGGCTCGTGCCAGAGTCCCTTCTTCACCTGTGTCTTCCTCCAGCAGTGCAGGCCCAGATCAGGGCTGCTGGGGTCCCCCAGGCCCCCTACATACAGAACTCGCAAGCTGTGCACGGGACAGGCATGGGGCAGAGAAGGTGAGCCCTGGCCCTGCCCAGTGTGGACCTAGCAGGAAGGCTGGCGGCGTCTCTGTAACTCTCACTGTACTCCCAACATCCTCACCAGCACAGCATTAGATACAGAGCCCACAACCCAATGAGGCCTCCCACGCCTCCACCCCAGGAGGCCTCTCCAGAAACGCCCCCCATGTGTGCCAGCATCTGTGCCGAAGACTGAAGACCCCCTGCCATCCCTGTCACCTCAGACAGGCTAGGGGACTTGGCGCTGGAGGAGGTCGCGCTGTTGGGGAGTGCATTCAAGCTCTATAGTGAGGCGCAGAGCTGAGCATGAGCGAACCAATCTGTGTAGGACAGCAGGAAAAGGAAGGATAAGCCAGAAACCATGTCACCATCAGGTGGCCTGGGGCTAGAGGGAACATGGGAAAGAAACCTTGCTGAACTCCATCAGAGTAATTGTGACTTGTGAATCATGCAAATTTTTATATCACCAGAAATAAATTTACAACTTAAAGTCACAAAATGCCAGTGCACTACACTGACGCCGGATAGGAAGAAAGGACTGCAACAGAAGTTCACAGAGCCATTACCAAACAGGTGATCCAAATGAGTCTCCCCTTGGTAGGTGCCTGTCTAGTCTGGACCCCCACCACTGCCCTTTCTGGGGCTGCTTTTCTACAACATCCCCGTGCCTTTGCTCCGCTTTGTCCCCAGGGCTGGAGCTGTCCACACTTCCAAGCCTCAGCCCCGTGGCCCACAGAGGATCTGGGGGATGCGGGCTGGGCACCAGTGACAGCGCAGCCCAACTCCCCGGAAGCTAGGGGCTTACTGACACACATGCTTTTGCAAGGAAGCCAAATGCCTCTTTCCAGCCTTACTCTCATCAGAGCATATATGAGCGTATACACACAGAGTCTTGTTATTTTCGTTTTGTGACACCAGGGATTGAACACAGGGCTTTCACACTGAACTCCAACCCCAACTCTATTGTTAAAAAATGTTCAGAGAGGGTCTCACTAAGTCACTCAGACCAGGCTTGACTTTTTTGAGACAGAGTCTCACTATGTAGCCCAGGCTGGCCTCAAACTCGCAGTGATCCTCCCGTCGCAGCCTCCCAAGTGCTGGGACTACAGGAGAGTGCCACCACGCCCAGCAAGCTGGGCTTCGACTTGCCAATCTCCTGCCTCAGCCTCCCAAAGCACTGGGTCACAGCTACAGACACACAACTGTGACATGTTTATGAGAGCTGAGTCTAGTTCACAGGTCATAGGTTCAGAGCTCAAGGCAGCCTCAGAAGACCACCCGTTCGACTCGTGCGTGTTACACACAGAGGAAAAAAGGAAGTTTGACTGCACAAAGGGGCTTGTCTGTGGGCACTGCCAAGCACGGCAGCTTTGCTGTCAGTGCAAACACACTGGGGTGCTCAAGGACCATCTTTACCATCATGCTTGTCCTATCACTACTGTGCTGCCCTTTCAAGGAAAAGTAACCAAGGATGGCCCCCTGTGTCACCAGCAGTTCTGGGCTGAGCTCTCCTCAATTTCACTTGCAGGTTCATTAGGATGGCTCGTCTCTCCATGCCTCCCTTCTTAGGGCAGCCCCAAGTGCAGTGACAATTGTGCATAATAAACACGGGCTAAATACGCACCGCCCAGACAGTGTGCCACACCTGGGGACTGAACCCAGAGCCTTTACCCTGAGCCTCAACCCCCAGCCCCTTTTTACTTGATCTTGAGACAGGATCTCACTAAGTCACCTAGCTGCTCAGACTCGGTTGAACTTTGCCATCCTCCTGTCTCAGCCTCCCAGAACAGTGCGATTATAGGCATGTGACGCTATGTCTGGCTCAGGCCACCTTCTTTTGATGGCTATTATCTCTCTGACCAATGCTTCTAGCAAGCAGGGTCTAGCTGAGAGCTGAAAGCGGGCAGGCTCCAGGAAGCGAATAAACAAATGATGAGTTTGGGAACTACCAGCAGTCTTGTGGATACCAGTGGCTTGGGATGGCAGGAGACACACTAGAGGTCATTGAGGGCCTTGGTGCCACAAGGGCAGCACTATGGGGGGTGGTTACACCAGGAGAACTAGTCAGCTCTGGCAACGTAGCACAAAGTCTCCTGCTGAAACAACTAAAGGGCTGAAGATGCAGACAGCACAGCAGAGGAGACATGACCATGGTGCCTGAAGTGCACCCACAATGGGCACGGAAGTACGGAGCAGACGGCCTGAGAGTCATGAGACTCAAAGGTCCTGAACTGGATGTTGCTGGGGCACCCGGGGAAGTAGGAACGAGAGTCAACGTTGGTACACCGCTCCACTTCCTGCGTGCTGCAACGGGACAGCATTTTCTGTTCTCAGGAGAGCTGGGCGGAAGTGTTTAGGGGCTAAGCTTCACAATGATTGTGACTGTGACTAACACTCCAACAGTGAATGAATCAGGGGATCTATGTGGTGCCAATATCACATGCTCAAAAGGGGGAAATGACATCAAAATAATTAGGAGCTGCTGGCTGACAGCATTTTCTCTGCAGTTATGCGGCTGGAACCCAGGGACTTGAGCATGCTAGGTAAATGGTCTACCACTGAGCCACATCCCTAGCCCCCAAAATAAAATTCTGAAGCAGTGACAGGCAAGCTCCTCTCCCTCCCTCTCTGTCTCTTTCTGAGACAGAGTCTTGCTGTGTAGTCTAGGCCAGCCTTGAACTCACCACACAGCCCACATTGGCCTCGAACTCCTGATCCTCCTGCCTTGGACAAGCTCTGAACAAAAAGACTGCCTTCCTGTTACACAAAGACATTAAGAGAAACAGCTGGAAACGAGGAAAGGCCTTCTTGCAGTGATTTTCCACATTGCTACACTCTATGGTAAAGCAGAGCGGCAGAGAAGCTGTCAAGGGATTTCCCCATGTTTAGGAAAAAAGGAGGCCTTGCCTAGACTTTGAGTAACCTGCCTGTCCAGGAGCCAAGGTGGCAAGGAACTTGGCAGCGTGAGGAAGCAATGAGAGATAGCAGTGATGTCAGGGCCAAAGGCCAACAGAGCTTGCAGAGTCCCCAGCATTCTTAAACCACAAGTGTGAGTGCCAGTCACCAAAGCACACAGGTGTGGCGTGGCCTGCCCCCCGACCCCAGAGTTTTCTCTAAGTGCTCACATTTTTACTGTGATGTGCAGAACACTGGATTTTTTCAGGAATGCCCATATCACATTGGAACAGAAAGGCCTTCATAAATCTTAAATATCGACAAAGCATGTGGTAATACTCTGGAGTAATAAAAAAACATCATTCAGTGCTTCTGTTGCTAGAACGCAAACATTAGCTCCAATCCTTCATTTAATGTGGCAAATAAAAATCAAGAGTGGCAGGAATCCTTCCTGCTGAATCCTCATATCCTGAGGGGCTGGATGGGAGATGATTCACCCACAGCAGTCCTGCTCCAACAGGCCTTGAAGACAGTCCCAGGAGATGTCCCTGGGGCTCATCTGACCCCAGGCAAGCAACTAGGGCAGCTTCAACCAGCCAGGACACTGAAGCTGAGGAAGGACCACTTAAATTCTACGATTTTCAGGTTAAAACATGGAGGCTGGGGGTGCAGTTCAGTGGTACGGTGCCTGCCT